CCTAAGGCGATTGGTAATTATTACAATGATATTTTAGTTGTTGCTTCACTGCTTGGGGGGGGGGGGTAGAGGCGATGGACACAACCTCTCTACTTTTAGTAGGGATAAGGTCTGCTTACACACACCCCATAGACCCTGCTTTTGTGGGATTCTACTGGGTTGCTGTTGTTGCTTTTTTGAGGGGTCTAGCTTCCAGAGAATTTGATATCTATGTTTCTTCTTTGGCAGTCTTATAGATTTGCAGAATGGGATCCTTCTCTTAGCAATTATATGAAAGTAAGAATTTCTTTATTTACAGAATATTATTAGCTCTTTTATTTATTCAAAACACTATAAGCTGGACCTAGAGAATTCTGGTCCTCACTATAACCTGTAATTGGTAGTTACTAGATATTATTATTGTTATTATAAATGTATATGTCGTTAGAACTAAATCTTCCCTCATACCTTCTCTTTGCTGTCATGTGAGTTGACAAAAAAGGCACCTCATCTTTTTCATGTATTAAGTGTGGGTGATAAATCTGATAATGTCTTGTTCAATAATTGTGTTCACAATTTTGGCAATGGAAAGTGTTCTGTTCCCTTTTTCTTTCCGTCAGACCCTTTTCTTATACGTGTGGTGCTTTACAGGAGTTAGAAAAGTCAAAACCTGTTATTTTGTGTGGTGATCTGAACTGTGCTCACGAGGAGATAGACATCTTCAATCCTGCAGTAAGTAATTCCTGGCAGAATTTTGTTCTATCTTCAGTGCGGAACTCTTAACTTTGGAAGGTTAAATTTTAACTAGGATAATAATATTCCTAGCAGAAAATGTGATACCTCGTGCAGTCTCATATGTATGTTATGATATCCAGAACTGAAATTTGAAGGTCTAGGATTTTGATGTAGGCAAGCCATATCTTGCTTCTTTGTCTTGAACCCGTGACCTCAAGACATATGCCACCCATAAAAGTTTATTCTAGAAGTTGATTAAATGATTCTATATCCTCCCTTGGATGATCCCGTGCTTAATTATTCTTCAAAGAGCCATTTACCTATCTAAACTAGTGTCCTTGGTAGGCACAATAGAAGAGCATAATGGTGATGCTCGGCCTGAGCCTTTATCTCGGTGTTTATTTTGACAAGTTTTAACTTTGTTCAATCCACAAATTTTGTCATTGCGCCTGTGTAACAATTAGGATATTGTTTCTTCTCAAGGGGAACAAAAGAAGTGCAGGATTTACAGATGAGGAAAGGCAATCATTCGAAAAGAACTTCTTAAACAGGGGTTTTGTAGACACGTTCAGGAAACAACATCCTGGTGTTGTTGGTTACACTTACTGGGGATACAGGCACGGAGGCCGTAAAACTAATAAAGGTTTACTATTCTATTTCTTTCATATCACTCTTTCTGTACTAATTTTTTCTTTCTGTTTTCCTCTTTGCTTTTTTCCTTAACACTATGTTTGGTTCAAGGAATTTGGAAGAAAAGAAAAGAAAATGATTTTCCCTCATTTTCCTCACTGGAATGGGAGGATTTTGGTTTTCTTTCCTCTTAGTACATTTTGCCTTCTCATTTTCTTTTCCTTTCACTTTTGTTTTCTTTTCCTCTCTAACCAAACAAGAAAAATATTTTCTTTCTCATTGTCTTTTCCTTTCCCTATCAAATTTCTTGAATCAAACATAGTGTAAATGAAGACTTTTAACCCTTTTACAACAAAAAAATCATTTTATCCTTATTTTTGCACCATTAACCTTTTTTTGCATCTTTCTTCAAATTTAAATTGCATTTTAAGTTACTCAATTATTTTTCCTCTTCGTTATCTCTTTGTCTTTCATCCTCACACTGTCATGTTTTACAATCATGTGCCTTTTGCTTCGGTGAACAAAAGGATGGAGGCTAGACTATTTCCTGGCATCGGAATCCATTGCAGATAGAGTCTATGACTCGTACATCGTCCCCGATATCATGGGCAGTGATCATTGTCCAATTGGACTTGTACTCAAGCTTTAGAGATGAATGATCTAAATGGGGAAGCAAACGGGAAGCCATACTATTATTCAATGCCGGGTTGGTCCTAGTCCTACAATGAGATTCCGAATGGCAGTGAGGTAGGTACTTTTTTTTGTCTTATTTTTTGTTTTAGTTGTCCAGATTTTCGGTTTTGTGATTTTGCAGTCTCCTCTAATCTGTATATATGAATATAATCCCTCTGTTACACCGAGGTTCTTTTGACACTGAACCCCTATGTCGTATTATAGGGGCTATAGTGTTCTGATCCATTCGATCGATTCGAAGTTGTTTCTACCCTCTAAACCCCCACAACTATCCTAGCCTGATCCTGTCCCCCAGTTTACATAAATAATTCAAGATTCAATAAATGACATCAATCCTCCCAATTTTTTTCTATATTCATATCGGTGCTCCGAGAATGGTTGTGTTTACAGTAGCGCCCCAACATATGGAGCGCCGAAGTAAACATGTATGAATTCTCAGAGCAATGATGTGAGCATATGAAAA